CTACCCCCTGGGTCATAAAACCAATAATTTAACTTGGAAATGCTATGATTTTATGATTTTAAAGGTCTTTATATAGAAAACAATAACTGTGCTTGGAAGTTATGCAAAAATCAGATGTTAGCAGTCATTTCTATAAAATTTTAAGAAAATGTATACATCAGACTGGTATCTGCATACATACAACTATGGCTTTGTTTTAACACTCTAGCTCATATATTAGCTAAATTATGTCAGATATATGGTAAGGGATGATACTGTTGTGACAAGAATTCTTAACTGACCATTTGAGGCAGAAATTGTGAACTTTCATTGACAAATAGGCATACAGCAAAATGTGGACTGGAGACACAAGTAGGATTGGATATTTTATATAATCTTGAATGTTGGAATGATTGACTGCTAAACATTACATTTATAGTATTCTGAAATGCTTTTAAAAACCTGATCCAATTGTTAATATCTTATGTTAGAAATCGATAAAAAAATAAAAAAAATAAATGTATTCTTCTTCCTTATATGACGCATCGTATTTAATAGATAATCAACACGTGAAATACATATTAATAAATTTCTACGGATAGTAGTGATACCTTTGTATAAACTGTATTTAAAAATACTGAAACATATTACCAGTTTGATGATTGAATACAAAAGTAAATATAATAATGATTTGCTTTTATTGCGATCTGGTATAAGGAACATTTAACTAATGGAAGTATGCGACCTTTTAAATTGAATCAGGATCACTTAAATGAAACACAGATCAAACGAATATATTTGCTTTAACTTTGGTTTTCTGTGTTGTGTGTTGTGTGCTATTGTTTGTCTATTTGTCTTTTTCTTTTTTAGCGATGACATTGTCGGTTTTTTCGATCTGTGATTTTGAACGTCCATCTGATATCTTTCGCCCCTCTTTTTAAGGGACAATTAGGTGTCTTCAAAAAATAAAGAGAACAAATTCTGTTGAATCATGCTCTGGGAATGATGCACAAATTCAGCTGGTCATATCTATGCTAGATTTACAGAGATTAGTGACGAATGCCCTTGCATCCAACATGGAAGAAAATTATAAAAAATGTCTTTCTCTGCACAAATTACCGACAAAAAATATTAATATTTATGATTTAGCTGTGCAATAATATATGACATCATACACGGATATTGTTGGTAAAGTTTTGTCAACATGACATAAATAACAAAGGAGAAATAAGTACAGGAAAGTTAATACCCGTGATTGAATGAAACAATGATGAAATTCATTATTATTTTTTTAAACCTAAAATAATGTTGGAACTATAAAAAATAGTCTTGATGCATTAATGTCAGAAGAATATGATAGTATATGTAGTTTATTTAATTTTGATAGGTCAATCAGTACGAGAGCAATACCATATTAAAATGTGTGTACCCCTTTTTATAAAACAACACACAAAATAGAATACAGAGCACTACTACTCATGGATACAAAGGGATACCTAGGATATTTTACAATGTGTAACAAGATTAGGTTTCCAATATAAATGTCAAATATGAAGTAAAGTATCTAATTTAAGATTTTTTCCGTCACATTAACCTTATTGAGATCATATTTGAATAATTTATACCGAGTCACGATAAAAAGTAAAATTACAAAAATACCGAACTCCGAGGAAATTTCCAAAAAGGAAAGTCCCTAATTAAATGGCAAAATCAAAAGCTCAAACACATCAAACGAATGGATAGCAACTGTCATATTCCTGACTTGGTACAGGCATTTTTGTTATGTAGAAAATGGTGGATTGAACCTGGTTTTATAGCTAGCTAAACCTTTCACTTGTATGACAGTCTCATCAAACTCCATTATATTGACAACAGTGCGTAAATAAAACAAACAGACACAATAGGTAAAAATGTCAAAAATAGGGGTACAGCATTCAACATTGTGTTATCATCTTAATCACTATTAAAACAAACAAATGTAACGAGAAAGAACAAAAAGGTATACATCAAATGTAACATCCTCGTTTTGCTTTTTTATTATACGATTTTATTTATCTATGTAAAATCCACCCATAAAGGATGGAAGGTATTAAGTACTGGCGTAAATTTGCTCGTCTGAAATTCGCACAGGTAGACATAAAATAATTTTGTCGTTCAAAGTATGACTGGATACATAAGTACAGAGTCACGTAAAATGGATATCACAAAAAACCAGACTTAACAGGAAAAGTAATATTAATAAATAAGATAATTTTGTCGTTCAAAGTATGACGGCATACATAAGTACAGAGTCACGTCGAATGGATATCTAAAAAAACAGACTTAACAGTAAAAGTAATATTTATAAAGACAAATAAAAGAATACTATAACACTTTATCATACACGTTACAATAAAATGACACTTTTAACTTGATGTAATTTTTTTTAATATTTGATGTACAAATAAAATACGAAACTTGATTGTTTAGTTCAGCGTAAACTATCTGAGTATTGTTTGTGTAGTAAGCATTACTTTGTAGTTGACAAATTGGTCATGAAGAATCCTGTATATGGTTAAAAAAGAGTAATTTACACTTAGTTAGAAATAATACCTGATCAATTGGATTCAAATAATTGTAATCATATTTAGATCAACAGACTGGTTGAATGATATATCGCAATATGAATTGTCTTTTGTTTGGATTCATGATTTACGTTTACTTTATTGACAAAGGTAAGGATTTTAAACATTGCTATTTATTTTCATCTTAGTGGGAAACGAATTGCATAAAATAAATATCATTATTTTGTATATGAAGATACAATGACCCAATCGTAACATTGTGACTTAGTGTAAATATGAATAAATGCATTACGAGGTCGATGTTCCAAGAAATATGGTCGGATTTACAATAACTTCAAAGGTAAATCATGTGACTAGGATCTTTAATATGCTTTCCGTGATATAGCTGAATTAATCTAATGAAACAGGATAACAGCCGCAAAACCAGGTTCAACCCACTATTTTATCTTAAAATTTCCTGTACCAAGTCAGGAATATGACATTTGTTATCAAATAGTTCGTTTCTGTGTATGTTCCATTGTCGTTAGTTTTCATTGCACTTCAGTGTTCTGCTGTTTCGTTGTTTTCCTCTTATAGTTGATGTGTTTCCCTCGGTTTTAGTTTGTAATCCGGATTTGTAATTTCTAAATCAATTTATAACTTTTGAACAGCGGTATACTACTGTTGCTTTTTTTTGCGAATAATATAGTCAATTGTTTTATCTTGCACTGCAGCGTGTGTACGACAAGTAGTGGCTTTTCATTTAATCGTATTTACAGAAATCATTCGTTATACAACACATATTTACTATTTCAAAACATGATCTTTGTATCGTTATCTGTTCAAAAATATATTTAACATTAATAAAACTATTCAACGAATTGATGAAGAGCAAGTACTTAAAGGTATATGTTTTATTATTAACACGTTGACATTAAAGAGTTTGTTTTTATATACGACAGCTTTCATTATAACAAAAAAAAAAAAAACCGAAAACATGATACGTACGGTGATTTGAACCTATATCAGGACTTTCATCACTGATTCATATTTTTAAACGCACCATGTTACGGAAGCGTATAAGCGCCACACAACTTTTTTAATGTTTCTTCCTATGTTTGCGTTATAACGCAAACCTTTGCGTTATAACGCAAACATTTGCGAAACAACGCAAACCTTTTGCGTTATAACGCAAACCTTGGCGATATAACGCAAACCGTAGTTTATATACGTGTATTAGCCTTTATATTTCACGGGTTAGGTAGTGGATGTAGATTATTGTCGTGTATTAGTCTTAAATACCACGGGTATGGTGGTGGATGTAGATTATGTACGGTTATTAGCTTTTATATACCACGGGTAAGGTGGTGGATGTAGATTATGTACGTGTATTAGACTTTATACACCACGGATATGGTGGTGGATGTAGATTATCGTCGTGTATTAGTCTATATATACCACGGGTATGGTGATGGATGAAGATTATTGTCGTGTATAAGTCTTTATATACCACGGGTATGGTGGTGGATGTAGATTATGTACGGTTATTAGCTTTTATATACCACGGGTATGGTGGTGGATGTAGATTATAGTCGTGTATTAGTCTTTATATATATATATATACCACGGGTATGGTGGTGGATGTAGATTATAGTCGTGTATTAGCCTTTATATACCTCGGGTATGGTGGTGGATGTAGATTATGTACGTGTATTAGACTTTATATACCACGGGTATGGTGGTGGATGTAGATTATGTACGGTTATTAGCTTTTATATACCACGGGTAAGGTGGTGGATGTAGATTATGTACGTGTATTAGACTTTATATACCACGGGTATGGTGATGGATGTAGATTATTGTCGTGTATAAGTCTTTATATACCACGGGTATGGTAGTGGATGTAGATTATGTACGTGTATTAGACTTTATATACCACGGGTATGGTGGTGGATGTAGATTATGTACGGTTATAAGCTTTTATATACCACGGGTAAGGTGGCGGATGTAGATTATGTACGTGTATTAGACTTTATATACCACGGGTATGGTGGTGGATGTAGATTATCGTCGTGTATTAGACTATATATACCACGGGTATGGTGATGGATGTAGATTATTGTCGTGTATAAGTCTTTATATACCACGGGTATGGTGGTGGATGTAGATTATGTACGGTTATTAGCTTTTATATACCACGGGTATGGTGGTGGATGTAGATTATAGTCGTGTATAAGCCTTTATATACCTCGGGTATGGTGGTGGATGAAGATTATAGTCGTGTATTAGTCTTTATATACCACGGGTATGGTGGTGGATGTAGATTATGTACGTGTATTAGACTTTATATACCACGGGTATGGTGGTGGATGTAGATTATGTACGGTTATTAGCTTTTATATACCCCGGGTAAGGTGGTGGATGTAGATTATGTACGTGTATAAGACTTTCTCTAATTCTTCGTAAATTTATCCCTTTCTGCACCCATTGTATAAACAAATTTAATCAACGTGTGGTTGCCGGTGATCTCAGCAGATGATTGGTTAAGCTAAAGGTCATAACCCGCCGGGACTACTTTTCCGTTCGAATTTCTCTGAATTTATCAATAACAACATAGCAACATATAAACAAACTCGCGAAATCGTCTGCTTCAACAATAAAAACAAATATGGCTTTAGAAATCAACAATGACCCGCATATCGGGGTTAGAGTAAAGCTTGTTGGCGGGAATAAAGGGATAATTTTAAGAAAAACTATAAATTTTGATTTCCCACTTTGGGATATCAAACTTGATTCTGGGAAACTTATCACAGAGGCCAGATATCGTTTTGATATTTTAGAAGACAGTGTTCAAAACATTGAACCAGAAATAACAACAACACACACCATCACAAAACAGAAATTACCAACTCTGGTTCCAGCAATAGACCCTTGCCCCACTGATGAGTTCAGTGATGATAATGTTATGTATTTTGCTGAACCTATACATGTATCCAACAGAGATTCCACTTTTCCTAAACAGTCTTCCAAAACCCAAAAAAGACAGTTTGTGACCATTCCTGAAGACAGTATTGACACATTTGTACTAGACCAGGAAAATAAAAATACCGCTAGAAAGACACAAAGTGACATACAATCATTACAGCAATTCTTAGTTACAAAATTGGAAACAAGAGAAATATATTCCATCCCACCCCATGAATTAAATCAAATTTTGTGTCAATTTCTAATATCAGTAAGGAAAGATGATGGAGACCAGTATGAACCAGCATCCCTTAAAGGAATGCTCTGTAGTTTCGACAGGTATTTGAGGCAACATAATTATGGCTACCAAATAAGTAAAAGTGCTGAGTTTTCGAAAGTAAAAGATGTCCTCACAGCAAAACAGGTGGAACTTAAAAAAATGGGAAAAGGGAACGGTAATAAAAAGGCAGAGACACTCTGTGACCAGGATATAGAGAAGCTGTTTCAGTCGGGAGAAATTGGGGTTGACTATCCTACCACACTTCTACACACCGTATGGTTTTTTAACACTGTTTATTTTGGTCTAAGGGGAGTCACAGAACACCACCAAATGACATGGGGTGACGTCAAAATTCAAAGGGACAATTCATCAGGATTAGAATATCTTCAAATGAATGAACGAAACACAAAAACAAGAACAGGCAAAAGTCTAAGAGACCAGAGAGACATCCCACAAATGGCATGGGCAAATCCAGAAAATGAGTTGAAATGTCCTGTACATGCCTATAAACTATATAGATCAAAACGTCCGCTCAAGTTTTCAAATCCAACTGATCCTTTTTACATTCAAGAAAATACAAATAGGGAAAAATCTGGCCTCTGGTACAAGAGCCAACCCATAGGCATAAACAAATTAGGCAAATTCATGAAAAAGATGGCAACTGCTGCAGGTAAATTTCTTTGCATTCATGTATTAAAACTGGTTGTTTAATACTGCATGTACATGTATTATACTGAATTTACCTATTTTACATATGAATTATATATCAAATCTACCAACGCATTGAGTGTGATAAGATATTTATCCACTCGAGACAGTCAAATTTTAAAATTTAAAACACAAGGCTTGCCGAGTGTTTTAAATATTTAAAATTTAACTGTCGAGAGTGAAAAATTATCATACATGTATTTAACAACATTCACTGGTGGAATCTGTTCATGAAATTATATTTAGAGGACATACAGACAAAATCTATATTTCTTTTACAATGATCTGTAAAAATAAGTGTACTTTCTATATGGTCTTCTCTTTTTGTGATGTCACAGATAAATAACAAAAATGAACTTGTTATATTGAATTTTGACCAATAAAAAATTGAGTTCACACACCATCTTGACAAATTATCTACATATATCTGCAACCTGAGACAGATATTTCTACAATACAACAATATTACTTTTATACAGCAATTGAAATAAAATTTCATTTAATTTATTACACCAGACTGTTAAATAAAATTTAAATAAATTAACACAATTGAAGCACTGTTAGTGATAAAACAGTTATTATATTTTAAAAAGCAAAAATTTGTTATCAGCTAAACAGAAGCAGGATACCATTTTAAGTCTTAACTTTTAAATTTTAAAAACAATCAGTTAAAAATATCAACAAACAAGTGTAGGTAATGATTAAAAAATTATTTCATGTGACATGTATTTGTTTCAAATTTTTAACCGTTTTTGTTCATACATGTATAATAGGGATAATTCAAAGTAAAGAAGATCAACATGATGACAATGATGAAAGTGAAAATGACTCAGGCAATAGACGCCTTACAAACCATTCTGCAAGAAGATTTATGCTACAAAAACTTGATGACGCAGGATTTGAGCATAATCATATTAAACAGGTTAATACTAAATATATATATGTCTATGATCCAAGTATATACAATATCACATACATGAACAGTTACATAAAATAAATCAAGGTGGATAAATCAAAATAAACTTGCTCATTGTTGAAGGCCGTACAGTGACCTATAGTTGTTAATTTCTGTGTTATTTTGGTCTCTTGTGGAGAGTTGTCTCATTGGCAATCATACCACATCTTCTTTTTTATATTAATCCTGTGTTATCAAGATTCTACCATTACATGCAGTGTGATACAATATTACTACTTTAAAGAAAGTTAATTTTGAAATTAAAATGCAAAGCTTGTCAAGTCAAGTCGCATGTTTGATATTTTAAATTTAACTGTTGACAATAAACTACAAAAATCCAGGAAAAGTATCAAGATTCACGTTAATTAAACTTAACTACATGTATCAAAATGGAATAAACAAAAATCAAGAAAATTTTAGAGATAAGATATACATGTACATTGTACTTAGAACTCCAAATTCTCTGATGTACAATGTAGAGTGTGTTTAAATTCTGATGAAAGCAAGTGCTCCAAAACAGCACATCATATGTACTGGCATGTAAATAAAACGCTCAGCACAATATGACATACCAGCCAGGAACACCCTTTTTTTTTTTTAATTATTTCAGAAATAATATTTCTTTACTATGTATTAAAAATAAATTGAAGTTAGTTAATCTTTCCACACATCACTATACAATAAAATTCAGTAACATAAACACATTAAATATATACAATACACATGTACATTGTTGGTACATGTAAATATAAAAATTATTTATACCATTTAAGAAACAGACAAAAAGCGAGGCTTGTTAAACTTTTCCATTGTTTTGCAGCGAGTATAAAATACATGTGCATATATTGTTTTTATCCTGACTGTTTCCACCCAGTACTTGAGCGTTAATTGATTGAATCCAATTCATTGCCTCTGATTTCAGAGAAATTGAAACGAAACGGGGAACGTGAGGAGGACCCCAAAATATACTGTTGCACACAAAACATATCCATATTACTGCTTGCTCAACATGAAAGCGGGCAACACTTAACAGAAGACTTTTATTGTACATGTTGTAAATAAAGCAAAATGTTATCTGTGTACCCATTATTTGTACAATAGTTGGCCGTTTGCAGGATAAAAAAAATAAAAAGAAGTGGTATATCAGCGAGATAGCTATCCAAGGCTCGGACTTTAAAATTCAATAATATAACTATCTCGATTGGATAAATCCGATAATCCACTGGTATCAATGTAAGAATCTATATATAGGTAACCGTACAGCCTCCAACGATGAGAAAAATCAAAACCATACAGCCAACCATTATTTAAAAATGGTACAAAAATAAAAAATAGGCAAAGATTCAATTGAAAAAATTACGGCCTTATTTATATCAAAACAATTTACAAAAAAAATAATATGACAAATTTCAAACGACAAAAAACACTGAACTACATGCTCCTGGTTTCCTTTATGATATAGATTTGGAATGTGCCCTATGACTATGTGGCGCGTTGTATGAGAGGTTTTCAAACACTTTCTGAAACATTTTTATATGAAAAAACTCAAATTAAACCTCTACATTTAAGTTTTTCAAGTGCAGAACCTTCAATAGTTTTCCTTTAATGATTATCTTATCATTTCTTTCAGATATCTGGACACAAAAATATCCAGAGTATTTCCACCTATTCCAAACTAAATTCAAAGAAACATCATGAAATCTCGAGGACCATCTTGGCGGATAAAAATGAAAATATGCAATCGTCACAAACTACAAGAACGGTCACAATTAACAATAATCCGGTTGGGCAGAACGAATTTCAGAATGTACAGCGGTCTCAGAAAATCAAGTTTCTTTTGGAAATTTGGCGGCCGCGCCAACGGGTCTAAGTTGCCTATTTGGAGGACCAATCTATGGAGGGACATTTAACATTAACATGTCAAACTTACCGTCGTTGTCACCATCGCCTCAGATAACCAAACGTCGTCGCTACGTTATAGAGAGTGACAGTTCCCAGGAATAATAACTCAGTTTGAATTTGTCAAATCTGCCATTGAACATGTGTCGATGTGATTTTGAAATTGACAACTTGTGAACTATACTACGCAAAAAAATAGTTCTAGCTAGAGATACGATTGTAACGTTATCTACTATCATATATATGCATTTTTGTTTCAACTAATTAAAGGTTTTTGTTTAAAAAATATTCTTTAATTTATACTAATACTCATTTATTCCTAAGATGCATAAATGAAGTGTTTGCGCATCAATTTCGTTAATGTATGACGTAGAAATCAGGAATGTGAGGCCCTTGAAGTAAAATTTTGTTTATCAAATTGGATTTGTTTTATAATCATTAGAGAAACAGATTCTTACATTGTTACACGTGGATTATCGGATTTATCCAATCTCGATAGTTAAATTATCGATATTTAAAAACCTCGCCAAGGCTCGGACTTTAAAATTCGATAATTTAACTATCTCGATTGGATAAATCCGATAATTCACTGGTACCAATGTAAGAATCTATATTTATATACCACGGGGGAGGTGGTGAATGTTGTTCATATACGTGTATTAGCCTTAACCGTTATATATCACGGTTAAGGTGGTGGATGTCGTTTATGTACGTGTATTAGTCTTTATATACCACGGGTAAGGTGGTGGATGTAGTTTATGTACGGTTATTAGCTTTTATATACCACGGGTAAGGTGGTTGATGTAGATTATGTTTGTGTATTAGACTTCATATACCACGGGTAAGGTGGTGGATGTAGTTTATGTACGGTTATTAGCTTTTATATACCAAGGGTATGGTGGTTGATGTAGATTATGTACGTATATTAGACTTTATATACCACGGGTATGGTGGTGGATGTTGTTCATATACGTGTATTATCCTTAACCGTTATATACCACGGGTAAGGTGGTGGATGTAGTTTATGTACGGTTATTAGCTTTTATATACCACGGGTATGGTGGTTGATGTAGATTATGTACGTATATTAGCCTTTATATACCACGGGTAAGGTGGTGGATGTAGATTATGTACGTGTATTAGACTTTATAAACCACGGGTATGGTGGTGGATGTTGTTCCTATACGTGTATTAGCCTTAACCGTTATATACCACGGGTAAGGTGGTGGATGTAGTTTGTGTACGGTTATTAGCTTTTATATACCACGGGTAAGGTGGTGGATGTAGTTTATGTACGTGTATTAGTCTTTATATACCACGGGTATGGTGGTGGATGTAGTTTATGTACGTGTATTAGTCTTTATATACCACGGGTATGGTTGTGGATGTAATTTATGTACGTGTATTAGTCTTTATATACCACGGGTAAGGTGGTGGATGTAGTTTATGTACGGATATTAGCTTTTATATACCACGGATATGGTGGTTGATGTAGATTATGTACGTATATTAGCCTTTATATACCACGGGTAAGGTTGTGGTTGTAATTTATATACGTGTATTAGTCTTTATATACCACGATTAAGGTGGTGGATGTTGTTTATATACGTGTATTAGCCTTAACCTTTATATACCACGGATAAGGTGGTGAATGTAGTTTATATACGTGTATTAGCCCTTATATACCACGGATAAGGTGGTGGATGTTGTTTATATACGTGTATTAGCCTCAACCTTTATATACCACGGGTAAGGTGGTGGATGTAGTTTATGTACGTGCATTAGACTTTATATACCACGGGTAAGGTGGTGGATGTTGTTTATATACGTGTATTAGCCTTAACCTTTATTTACCACGGATAAGGTGGTGGATGTAGTTTATGTACGTGTATTAGCCTTTATATACCACGGGTAAGGTGGTGGATGTAGTTTATGTACGGTTATTAGCCGTTATATACCACGGGTAAGGTGGTGGATGCAGTTTATGTACATGTATTAGCCTTTATATACCACGGGTAAGGTGGTGGATGTTGTTTTTTTACGTGTATTAGCCTTAACCTTTATTTACCACGGGTAAGGTGGTGGATGTAGTTTATGTACGTGTATTAGCCTTTATATACCACGTGTAAGGTGGTGGATGTTGTTTTTTTACGTGTATTAGCCTCAACCTTTATTAATCACGGGTAAATTGGTGGATGTAGTTTATGTACGTGTATAAGTCTTCACATACCACGGGTAAGGTGGTGGATGTTGTTTATATACGTGTTTTAGCCTTAAACTTTATATACCACGGGTAAGGTGGTGGATGTAGTTTATGTACGTGTATTAGACTTAACCTTTCTATACCACGGATAATGTGGTTGATGTAGATTATGTACGTGTAATAGCCTTTATATTCCTCGGGTAAGGTGGTGGATGTTTTTTATATACGTGTATTAGCCTTAACCTTTATTTACCACGGATAAGGTGGTGAATGTAGTTTATGTACGTGAATTAGCCTTTACATACCACGGGTAAGGTGGTTGATGTTGTTATATACGTGTATTAGCT